AGAGAGAGAGAGAGAGAGAGAGAGAGAGAGAAGTTGATACTACTATCTATGTAATAAAGATTCTTTTGAGCAGACAGTTTAAAGAACGTATACGAGGTGTCTCAGGCATTCTATGTCGGACTATAACGTTAAAGGCCAAATTAAAAATTTAAGTAGATTTGTTTCGCTGTCGATTCAACAATTTTACAGTTATAAATGACCTAAAAATTATAAAATTTTGGCGATTAAGTTTTAGATTTTTTATTCACATCTTATTCGCCAAAATAAATGTTAAAGATTAAATCTGGATCCTTATATAAATAACAATGCTTTGACACCGAGCGCTGATTGATAAAAAACCGGCTGTGGGGGTAAAATTTACCCCTTTCATCCGCTTTTCACCAATCAGCGTTCGATCAAAGTTGTCCATATGAGGATTTGGGCTAAAAAATTATGCAAAGAAATGGCATCGAGTTAATTTCAAAGTTGCCAAAGAATTAAGTCGGCAGAAAATTTACAGTGCCCGAGACACTATGTATAAAGCGTTAGATATATGTTATTGGCGTAATAGTAGTGACAACTAGTGTTTGCTATATTTGCAATCTTCGATGAGAGAGAGGATATATAAAGAATTTATAAAGTTTATAATCGCTGCTATAGTAGTCAATTGTAAAGCGTTATGGCACAAAAATTGGATATGTGATTAAAAATTATATATGCTATTGTAATATGTATGTGTGTGTGTATATATATATATATACACACACACATATATACATATATATACATATATATACATATATGTATAATATATAATATACATATTATATATTATATAAAATCTGATATATATATATATTACGTTTCCTAAATTTTTTCGAAGTCATACAATATTATTTTTCATGATAGAAAAGATATTTAGATGTAGCGTCATGCTGTGCATTTGTATACTTTCTAGTATTAACGAAGCTGAAAATATTGGAATTGAATTCACACAGAGAGTAACACTGTGAGGACTAAGTTAGATTAATTAGAATTAGTTTCTGTATCAACTTGCATAATAAGTTCCATGATATACCTGCTTCATATAAAAGTTATTGTTTTAAATTTTATGCAGGATATTTAAGAACAATAAAATTATGTACAGCTAAATTTTGCTTCGCGTCAGCGTATACTCCTCTAGCATTATAATATACTAAATGATTAAATATTTATACAATTGTTCATAATATTGCATATTAGGTAATCCATTGAAAAAGGAATTATACGGTTCTCTTTGTATATTTTTCCAATGTTTACGGCTACACCTGTTTTATATAAAGATTAGTCATCTTATTTTATAATATTTCTTAGATAGCATTCCGCTTTGTTATTTACAGAGTATATTTTACGAGTTGTTGCAGTTTAAAATGCGCTTTTTGTTTTTACTTATTTGTGAAGAATCTCGGAAAATAAGAATATCAAAACAAATATATACTTTATACATATATTAGGCGCATAGAGAAATTAAATAATAATTGAAGGAATTTGTATAACATAAAATATTTAAATTCTGCTACGACTTTCTCTTCTCTTTTTCAGAAGCGTTTGTTACATATTTAACGTTTGATAAACGCGTTAAAAATTATTATAAAAATGTGTTACATATTACTATAGAAATTATTTTATATTTCGTCATATACAGAGAGGCTTAAGTATTTTTTATATGTGTAAGAACAAGATGAATTGAAGCTCTTTTTGTAAAAGAGATAAGAAGGCACTTACATTATTCAATATATCTATATAATATTTTTTGTGATGCATAATATTTAATATTGTTAAATCCGTAAATTTTTAATTGCTTTTATAATCTAGTCATGTAGAACAAAATATGTTAAAAAACTTTACGATAATATTATTAAATTCCTTCTATATATATATCATTAAATCTTTTATTTATCCTTCCACAAACATTTTTTTCTCCAATAAGTTAATTAAACGAAATTGTAATTATAATATATCTTTTCTCAATTGACAAAAATATTAAGTATAGTTTTTAATGTCCCAATAACTAAAAT